CCGGAAGCACGATCCGTCCCGGAAGCACGATCCGTCCCGGAAGCACGATCCGTCCCGGAAGCACGATCCGTCCCGATCATGCGTTAATAATCCAGGTGTCCATAAATAATGTAATTATAGTTTTAAAATTACTTATTTCTATCCTTAACTCTCCAAAGAACATTAAAACACATCTTTAAAAAATGTTTAATGACTTTTCTGAGACAATTTTGATGTTTTTTCCATTTTCTCCGTGAAACAGCATCTCTGACGTCATCATGGGACACGATCAGAGCAGTAAATCTGATTAAAGCGTGTTTATCTGCATTCTAGTGGTTTCTGTTAACAGGAAAGGAAAACATTAATGTTTTATGTTTAAATGCAAAGCTGATAGTTAGCTGCAGGAAGTAGCGTAGCATCCCATTTCATCTACAGATCAGCAAAAGTTATAAAACAGGATTTAAATGCTTTTATTTTGTCAGGAAAGACATTATTAACCTTTAACACATTAAAGTTTCGGACGATGACTATTTTTAGGGAGGGAAAAACGTCACTTAGGTCTTTTTACCAAAATAAAATGGAGGACGACCCGGATGGATATCTGGACGTGCGAATCAGCTGATGGCGCAGGACGGGTCGGGTGGTGACGGCCTCCAGACGTTCAGACACTCATCAAAATGGCGTCTCTAGTCATTATGGCGGACATTGGGACACAGCCATGGAGGGGTCAGAGGTCAGACTGACCCATGGCTGACTGCTCGTGGTGACGTAGTTGGTCTTAAAGGAGCGGTGGTTGTGGGCGGAGCTGCTGTGTTTTAAGGTTCCTCTGATGTTCTCAGATGGAGGAGGTTCCAGGAGAGCTAACCCAGGATGATCTGGCTCCTGATGATGTCATGATCCTGGACACCTGGGATCAGGTGAGTCCTCCCCGCCATCGTCAGTAAGGTTCTGGTTGTGGTGTGAGCTCACCTTGTTCTCCTGCAGGTCTTTGTGTGGATCGGCAAGGAGGCTCATGAGGAGGAGAAGAGGGAGGCAGCGGTATCAGGTGAGAGAGCAGGAGGCGGTACCGCCCCCCCCTCCACAGGTGTTCAGCTGATAACCGTGTCTCTTTCTCCAGCGGAGCGTTACATCGCCACCGACCCGGCTGGCCGTGACCCGCGGACCCCCGTGGTGACACTGAAACAGGGATTCGAACCCCCGACCTTCACCGGCTGGTTTCTGGGCTGGAACCATGAGTACTGGAACCAGGACCCACTGGAGCGCTTCATGCAGGGCCTGTGACATCACTTCCTGTGTGCTGTGGAGCAGAATGAATAAAGAACAGATGGAAGCGTTGTGGTTGTCTGTGTGTTGATGATCAGAGGACGGGTTTATTAGAGCAGACCTCCTTATAAATACTGTAGATAAATAACAGAACAGAGGCTCATAGATACAGAACAGACAGAAGCCACAGCCAACACTGGGGGGAGGGGGGGCACAACTCATTACAAGTTAAAAGTTTTACAATAAAATCTGTTTACATTAAAATTCTCTGAAACACAAACTAACGTCTAATTCTGGATGGGCTCACCCAATGAAATAGTCAAAGCTACGGAAGCCCAAAGAGGCCAACACGATCACTGCAAGGGTTCCAGCTAGGCTAACACTTTCCACCAGCTGTGCTACGCTAGGCTAACCTAGTGGAGCGGCTCTGCCTGCGCCGCCATCCTTCTGTCAGACCATTTCCTGTATGCAGAGCATCTCTAAAACAATGGCAGAACAACATGGGGGCGGGGCCTGAGGCTGCAGCGGCGCCTGTCGGCCCGCTGAGGTCGGATTTAACCGGTAAGGTGAGGGTGGAAGTTCTCACCATTTTAGGAAGAACATAAAGAGGAACATGCAAAACTAGGAGGGAGGGTAACCTAGCAACAAGGTGGGATCAGGTCAGAGGTCATTTTGGCGGTGTAGAACATTCCATGGACGTGTCCGATTGGTGGATTATCATTTGGTCTGAGTCAGTTTATAAGCCCCGCCCTTCCCTGCAGTTTCAGCCAATCACAGCTCTGATCCGTCCTCTCAGCAGTTGCCGGAGTTACGGAACTCCCCGTTCTCAGTTATCTGCAGAGATGACGTGTTGCTAGGAGACAGGCCGTTCCTCTGTGATGTCACGCCGTATCGTTCCTTCAGCTGGGTCAGCGCCGCCATCAGACGGGTGTTGGCTGCGTCCAGACTGGCGATTCTCTTCTCCTGAGAGACAAGAACAGATGAAGCGGGTCTTTACGGCTGATCTAATGTGAGCCGGGAGGCAGGTAATAAAATAAAACTGTCCAGAAGGAGCCGGTTAGACGTTAGCCTCTCTGGACGCTAAAGCTAACAGAGCCGCGGTCTGAGGACGACGTCTGGCTCCACCCACCCACACAGAAGTTAGCACAGTTTTAGGGGGCGTGGCCTGGCATTAGGCCATGGAAGGAGAGCTACATGGCCGAGGAGTTTCCCTGGATAAGAAGCTGAACTTTGGACAGAACCAATGGTGGGTTTTTAGAAGGCCAGACCGGCTCTTCTTCCCAGAACCTTTTTCCCCGAGGAAGCGGAACCTTTTTCCCCGAGGAAGCGGAACCTTTTTCCCTGAGGAAGTGGAACCTTTTTCCCTGAGGAAGTGGAACCTTTTTCCAGAGGAAGCGGAACCTTTTTCCCTGAGGAAGCGGAACCTTTTTCCAGAGGAAGTGGAACCTTTTTCCCTGAGGAAGTGGAACCTTCCTCCTGAGGAAGTGGAACCTTTTTCCCCGAGGAAGTGGAACCTTTTTCCAGAGGAAGCGGAACCTTTTTCCAGAGGAAGCGGAACCTTTTTCCAGAGGAAGCGGAACCTTTTTCCCCGAGGAAGTGGAACCTTCCTCCAGAGGAAGCGGAACCTTTTTCCAGAGGAAGCGGAACCTTTTTCCAGAGGAAGCGGAACCTTTTTCCAGAGGAAGCGGAACCTTTTTCCAGAGGAAGTGGAACCTTTTTCCCTGAGGAAGTGGAACCTTCCTCCTGAGGAAGTGGAACCTTTTTCCCTGAGGAAGTGGAACCTTCCTCCTGAGGAAGTGGAATGTGGCCAGCGGACCATTTCTGCAGGGCCATGTTGGGGGAGGGGCATCTGAACAGATGATAGAAACAGGAGCAACAAAATGGCGCCACCTCAGTGCGCTGGACTGCGTATTTGGAGAGACTGAGGTCTAAGCTGAGCTCAGTTTGGTTCCTGCGAACTCGTCCTGTAGATGTTTAATGGTCTTAAAGTTCTTAGTCACCCCTCAGGGTTCTACTCTTTTCATCAACACCTGTAGCGTTTGTTCTATATAACTATATAACTTTTTATTTTCTTTGCTCTTCAATGTTTGTTTCTATGTTTTATTGTGAACGGATGTGATGATGGTTGGTGCATCTAATCTCTGGGGGATAAACTAACTCTATAGCTCTAGAGATTCAAACAGCCGTTTAATAAACAACCAGTAAAGGACTGAGGGGTGCTGCTCCGCTCAGGGAGGGGCTCTACCATCAGCTCACAGCTACCAATCTGAGCGACGCGGTGCAGCATCTATATCTTCTATACGCGCCTCCCGCTATTTAAAGTCTGCTCAGCTAGCCGCACTCGTGCATCAGTCCTAGTGCACGCTGTGCTCCATGTCCGCTCTGGTGGTGAACCAGCAGCCCCGCCACGCCCCTGATGGTGAGCTGGGAGATGATGGATGGATGCTACTTTATATCCAGAAACAATATTTCATTATCTAACTGAATATTTATGGATAAAGACTCAGGAAGTTCTCCTTTATGCCTGTTCTATCATAGAAAGCAGGCTTAGATTGGAAATCCACCCAATGGTTTTTCTCTCTATGTTCCTCTACTTCTATCTGTCCAATAAAAACATTTCTTTTGGATTGTTGTGGCATTATTAGGCAGTTTGAAAGATTCTTTTATAATCAGGACTTTATAAAGAGATAAAAGCTGAAATGGATCATAATCAAGAAATAAAATGTTAGAACCATCTATTTCAACAAAGATCTGTTTATGCGCTGCAGCGGCAATAAAGGTTTCTATCTAAAGGATGGTGAATAAATGGTGACAGGGCGGAGACTGCTCACTATTTTAAAAATACTGGAATTAACAAAAGTGTTCTAAAGATAAAGAATATCTCATTTCACTCAATAATCATCTAATATAACTCAGCCAGGATGGTTTGTTTGAAATGTCCTCTTTAATATTGAAAATGAAGAAGTTATTATAGTTGTTAGAAATGAGCTGCTATAGAAAAGCTAAACTGATCTGGATCCAAACTGCTTAAATGCATGAAGGCTGTAAAAAACAACCAAAATATTGCAAAGAGTTTAAACTTTATAAGGTTTATCTGATGATGAAGGAGCTTTGAGCGTTTTGGTCTTCATCAGGAAAACGTGGAAAATGCTTTAAATTTGCAGCTCAAATCAAAAACTGTTTTAGTTGTTATTATTTTATCAAACCTGAGCAATAAAGAGAAGAATGATGAAATTAAAGCTCTGCTAATGGAGCTCCAGTTCCTGAGTGAAGGACTCCTGCTGCACCTCCTGCTGCACCTCCTGCTGCACCTCCTGCTGCACCTCCTGCTGCACCTCCTGCTGCACCTCCTGCGGTCAGTCTCCGGCTGAGTTAGCAGCTCCAAACGGAGCAGCGTGAGTCCAGGACAACAGACCCATCTGGTGCCACGGAGGGGAGAAGTTCTACCCAGCAGAGCAGCGTGATGCAGCTCCGCCTGACTGGCTCCCATGTTCTGAGATCAGTGATGAACATCTGTGGAACAGGAGGACGTACCTGGGCCTCAATGACCTTCTGCTTCTGGTCCACCACGGCCTGCATGTCAGAGTGATCCTTCTTTAGCTCTTCTTCTACCGCCATCAGCCTGCACAGATCAGACAGGTGAGTCAGAAGTGATGACGAGCTGATGGACAGGTGCAGGTAAGACCAACCTGCTGATGATGCTGTTCATCTGGAGGTCTTTGTCATCCTGTAGTCTCCTCAGTCGGCTCTCTGTGTCCTCCAGCCGCGTCTGAAACCCACAACATAACGTTGGTCCACCTGTACAAGGTGAGCAGACCTCTGAGGGCTTCAGGTAGGACCCAGACCTGGTACTCCTGCAGCATCCGTTGGTTCTGTTGGTCCTGGACCATCAGACGAGCTTCACACTCCTCCTGACGCAGCGCCGCCAGCCGCAGCTTCTCCTGAAGCAGAGCGATCTCCTGCTGGTACTGAACGGCCACAGAGGGTCAGAACCTGCACCACCAACGCTCACACACAGACACAAGCTCGCCTACCTTCTCCACCAAAGCGTCGTCATGGCGATCGTCCTCTGCCTCGCCGTAGGAGGACGCAGAGTTCATGTTGAGCAGCCATGCGGCGGTTCGGTCCAACGCACAGGGAGACGGAGCCTGGACGCACAGACACACACCTGAGTTATTAGCTACACCTGAGGAACGGCTGAAGGTGGCGCACTGGAAAAACACGCCAACGTTTCTGGATCATTCAGCCTGGATCTGAGGAGATCAGTCAGACAGTCCGCCAATGGAAGGAGCATTTTTCAATCAGATCATTAAATAATTTGCACTTGAAATAAGACAGCTTTGGTTTCTTATTTTAAATGTAAATTGCATCTTTAGCTAAATGTCTGTTTTCTCTCCTCAAATCAACAACAAATGCATTTATTTGAAGTGAAAATGACTCATTAGGCTCTTGCAGCAGCAACAGCGCTGCGATAGCCTATTGTTTCTGTAATGTTCATTTAGATTTCTTCCAGTGTGATAAAGCTGCTTCTGGTTCTGTTTGGTTCTCCTCTGGTTCCTCTCTAAGAACACCTCCTGCCAGGACCTTTAATCGCCTGTATCCTCCGTAGCCTTGGGTATCCCATGATGCATTGCAAGACCAAGCAAGCCAGCTGATCTGTGCTCAGAGGAAAAAGGGAAATGGCGCCAAACAGTGGTGAATATTGGAAGTTCAGTTTCATGTAATCCAAGTTTGTGAATAGTAGCGTCTGAAATGAATGAAAATAGTTGATTTAAAGGTGCTGAAGGACAAAAATGGTTCCAGCAAGACACATTTTTGAACATACACAACCATGCCTCTCCCTTAAGATCAACCCTCGAAACCACGCCTTCAAAACAATGCGTGTGCTTTCTGCAGCGCGTCTAGAGCAGCTGCTGGCAGGGAGTCAGACACAGCAGGGAGTCAGACACAGCTGGCAGGGAGTCAGACACAGCGCTGCTGGCAGGGAGTCAGACACAGCAGGGAGTC